AGGAGAATATTCTGGGGTCCAGAAATGTTCCCCCTCGCCAAAGACCCTTGTTGCACCCATGCACCACCTCCCTGAAGCACCTGCCCAGGCCCAACCTTTTCCTCCACCAACAGGATGTTCTGAGACCCTGGCAGATCCTTCCTTGTCAGGGTTCCAGGCTGAAGTACTGGTCCCCCACCCTGCCCCTCCATGACCAATACGTTCTGCGATCCATAAAGATTACCGACACCTGCTTTTACTCCCACTAGACCTTCTCGCATCACTGGAACTGAACCTTCTACCAACCCACCACCTACAGGTCCTGCCACCACTCTCTTCTCAGTTATCATCATATTCTCAGCTGCAGGAACACTGTTCACCAAATACATGGTCTGCGTGCTGGGAATCGAGGGTCTATCCGCAACCAGCACAGTGTTATGAACCTGAGGATCAACGACATACCGAGTGGTTGGTACCACAGGGGTTGTGGTGTAGTACACAGGCTGTTGAATGACGTATGTTGGTTTGGGGACCACCACGTTCTCGCGGACTGTCACGTTAGGGGTGGGAGCCATGTAACTGGTCTCAACAACTGGTTTTTCCACACGGACAGTGGGTTGAACCACCTTTGGCATGGTAATAGTGTCCATCACCACGTCTGTTACTGGGGGTGGCTCGAACTTGGGTGGCGGCAATGGTGGCGGGACAAACGTTATGGGTTCCATTTCAGGGCCTCTGCAGATGTCAGCCAAGGTCTTGAACTTGGGGCCCAGATTATTCAGAAATTCAAGGTCGTTGTCTGTTTCCAGGAGGCTGCAGCAGCCAACAGAGCCTGCCAAGGATCCCTGTCCTTCACAGTCATACACCAGCATTTTTTCATCCAGGGCTTCTTTGTCTAGAGCAAGACTGGCTTTCTAGAATGTTCATGAAAAACATGACAAATAAGTTAATGGAAGATAAAAATGAATTACTGTAGGTTTGTGCATTTGGTACAGGTCTACATAAAGTCCATTCAACTAACTATAGAAATGATGATAATTTTTTAGACAATACAGGTATGATTTGTGATAAAATGTATTATTTAAACACCCCCCCCCCCCAATCTTATCATGATGCACAAATGCATATACCCAAGAATGTGAACCTAAGTGTCATGTATCCATGTATATATACCTAAAATATCAATTTTGACCCGTATATTAAATGTACATCAACTGATCACATTTATTAACCTAGGAGAATAGTTATCAGTTTAAGGTATCCATTTCTGAGCTAAATAAAAAATATATACAAAAAATACATAGCCATACATAGATAGCTAACTTTCCATTCACCCTTACAGCCAACTTTCAGTTAACTTTGAAACTGGATAATATGTTCTGTAATGTGCAAATAAACGTGAAGCATTAGCACTGCTAACCTTTGAGTAGTACTCTTCCAAATAAAAATCAGGGAGGGCAATTCCTTCATATGTTTCAGTTTCAGTAGCACGGTATCGTGAGTTAAATGCAAAGTCTTGGTCCATGTAATCCATGTCCATGTGCCCCCCTGCCTTAAATCCGGAGGAACCTGAAATGAGCCCGGCAGCTATTCCTGCTGCTTGAGTAGGACCTGCACTTGATTTGACGACATTATCCACTTCGATTGGAGCATTCAGAAGTGGGACTTCCTACAAGGGAAAACAAAAAAATAATAAATATAGTAAGGGCTAGGAAATTTATCACGTTAACACAGGGCACCAGTCTGGTTGCATATGTGACCATTTATTGAGAGTATTTGAGTTCAAATTTCATGTGGTCGCATCTGTACGAGTGTATGATAATCATTAGGTGTTTGGCTCTGGCATGGGTACTGCATAACAAAATGTGATTGAAAGATTGTTTTTTCTTCTTCCCTGGTTCAGTGTGTCTTTCTCTTTTTGCTAAGTTAGTTTCTCCTTACCTGCATGCGGGAGTATATACATATATGTGCATCTGATGATAGGACGTGCAAAACAATCCCTTTATCTGTGATGTTAATATGTTCCAAAAATAAAGCAGTCTATAGTTGATTATTTTAAAAAGCAAAATGAGAGGAACGAGGAGGAGACTGAAGGAGAGGGAGAGCCAAGGAGAAACCCCAAGACAGACATAAGTGAAGGTGAGAGTGAAGTGATTCAAGTTAATGTTCAGATTATAATATTTTGCAAATACAGTAAACCCTTCACATTCCTGCTTTAGATATTCGCGGTTTCGGTCATTCGCGAGTTGGCCATCAACAATTAAACAGGAATATTTTTGGAGCTTGAGAAAAGATTGCAGAAACATACAGATGACAAGTAAGCCGAAATCAATACTGAGAATGATTTGGATTGCATAAAATCATATAATATACAAATATTAGTAAGACATAATATTTGTTCGTCTAAGTGTATTCTACAGTATACCTTGAATATTAGAAGTCTTGGCTTGGGTACACCACTCATCTTTGTGTCGGTAACCTGCTTGCATTACTGTAGCTATCTTTGTAAACGTGGAATTTCACGTTGCCAACTGAGAAAGTTAGTAGCACCAGTGCTACCACTGGTTTTTATGACGGATTCTTATTTCTT